CAATACGAACAAAGTTCTTAAGTGAACCCTGCTCAGTGAGAAATTCGGATTCGTAAGGATCGGGTCACACCTTGCGATCTTGCGATTTTGCAATCTTGCATCTTTTCGTGGAGTTGATACGCATCGATCTGCGATTACACGATCGCAGATCGAATGGTCAATACTTATATATCTATTCCACAGTCGAACTGCAAACCGAGCTGTAAGTTCCGACCTTAAAGGGAACCTAAAATAGTAGCACACTTTTTCGTAGTGATGTTTGTATAAGTGATTGCGGTATAATTCTTGAAAGGTATTTCCCAGTAGTTCAACGCTTCTTGCCTTAAACCTGATGCAGCTAGTGAGCGACTCACCTTCCACTCCTCTGTAGTGTGATTTGGATTTGGCTTCGAGCATTCGAACTTGGTTACTATTAGTTTTGAGTCGCCATAGACGAGCATTACTTTTGTTTCGTTTGTGCACTGTGCGCGTATGGCTGATTTTGCTCTTTGGTACGGCTGTTGTTATGGAACTTATGTTTCAGATTGTGGTCTCTCCTCAAGGTTCATGAAGTAGTGAACTAGCGACTATGAATTTTGTGATACCAAAAAAGAAACGTGTGGTGGAAAAGCCCGCAATAGGTACGTTCGTTGTTCTAGGAAGAGCTCTTCTCTATCCATTATTTCATTTTTTCGTTATTAGAAAGTTCAGTATAGTTTTCACAGTTTGGATTAGTCAGATTATTTCGCTAGTCTAAAAATTGCGCACCTTTTCCTGCACAAAAAATTGTGGTGTAAGGTGTTTCTTGACTTGTTATATGACTGAGTTCATTCACTGATATCATGTGCACAAAACTCTGTAAGGAAGTTCATAGCTTATGTTATTTTTAAGACGTTACGTCTCTTGAGCCTAAGGCTACTATCGAAGATGCCCCCAAGGATTCTCCAAAGTTCAATACTGTGAAAAGTATTGTGCTGGAAAGTATGTCCGACCGGCAGGTGCACCAGTTCATGCACATCGAGAAGGTTCAGCTGATAAAGAACCCGCTCCTTGAATACAGGGTCAGCGTCTAGACATTTGTTCTTGTTGTTCTGCCAGGGCTAATCGTATGATTTCAGTACTCTCAATTCAAATCTAGTTTACGCTCAACAGGTCAAAGTGATGCTGAAGGATATGGATTTTTACTTGTTGGATTTGATGATGAGGATGTTTGTTTTTTTTCTACATATGAGTCCATTTGGAATTAAATCAGTTTATATTTGCATGTTTCAGTGGATGCATATCTGCAATAATGGTTACTCTGTCGGTGTTGCCTTCTATGGTGACTTAGGTCTAATAACCCGGGGTAACTTTCGAAACATCGTTCGCAGTATTATATTAGTTCTATTATTTCCCAGTATGTAGACTATTGCATGGATTCTTTAGGTGTATATGTCTACCGTCACGTAGATCTCGTGACTCCTTCTCTTTTCTATAAAGACGAAACCATGCGTGTTATGGTTTTTCGAACTTTGAGGCAAGTATAGTTTTTGAGTCGCACAATAGAAGTAGACCATTTGTCCGTTTCTCATAGTCCCTTACATTTTACGACATCTTCAGAGGGAAGAGTTATGCAGTTGGTTTGGGTTCTACTGAGCTTGAACCTACTCTGGATTGCTCTAGTCACGTCGCAGCTTCAGATCACATTCCAGCTACGAAGAAAACTCGTCAACAGCTACACCGTCAGTCAGCGGTCAGCTTTTTTTAACTAAATTATGAGCGTCACTTGTTGTGTGACAAAAAGTCATTGTTGTTTTGATATCTTTTTTTAAGGTCTACCACTATGAATACAAGAAAGACATGTCGGTAGCAGAGGTGCCTTCTGGTGTTCTACCTTATGCTGTGGTGGATTTACGGTTTAATATGTCTGAAAGAAACCAGCACTCGAGCATCCCTCCTACACTAGGGTGCTGTTCTGCTTTGAATTTTTGCTTTCCTCAGTTGGCGTTGTTTTTCTCGCTTCGCTTGTTTTCAAGATGTGTTTCAGATTCGTGAATGATCAGCTTTATTTTTATCCTGTATACGAAGGACTTTTGACAATTTGCTCAGCAGTTTTCGGGAAAGCAACTCTCAATACAGTCTTTGAAGACTCCTGCAAACCACATGGATTGTGAGTATTCTGAGGATGTATCTCGTTCTTCTCTATAGCCGCTAATCATTTTGAAGGGATGAGTCACTGATATTCTCGAAGTTGCTAAAATGGGCTGACGCTTATGACGTGAGAGGGCTTCCGCAACTCATGGCACCAGAAACTTGGGGTTTAATAGCGAAACAACGCGAAGTCTGTGTTAGAGTGAGTTCGTTTATTTCAGGATCAATTGCATAGTTCATTAACACGTTGACGACACGCCCTTGTGCGCGAACCTACCTCACCTTATTTTACAAATTTGCATTAACAGTTACTACATTACCAATAATTTCATTAGTGGTAACGAGAGAACTATTTTTCGTATCCAACAGTAGGAAGGGCCAGTCTTGAAGCATGAAAATGGAGGCACAATTTAGGAAAAACAAGTCTCTTCCGTGTGAGAGTGCGGGACGTATGTGTCCCGCGCTGTCGTCAAAGTGTTAAGGTATATATTTCAGAATCACAATGAGCGGTCTGAGAAGTGGAAAGTCCGGTACGTCTCTCACTTCGTATGGATGTGTAGCGATCCACGGTTCGCTACAATCGCCAACGCTATGCGTGTAGAACAATGTGTATGTGACATTTTTGCCTTTTCTTGCTCAAACTCAAATCTCATGTCGATCTTTTATTTGTGAAGTATAAACGAATAATGAGAAATAGAAGAAAGAGCAGCAACGTTGAAAATCATTCGTGTGATATAAAAGAGAACATGATTTTCACTAACACCTCGTGTGTGTATAAGAGGACAAAGTCCAGGTTTTTTTTTGTGCGTAATCACAACCCAAACGAAAATGTGCATGAATTCTTGACTAGCGCGGGATGGCCTATCTACAACATAAGAGATTGGATATTACAATACTAGATCTATTGATGGGCCGCTTGAATTGTTAAGTCCTCGCTTGATATGTGGCCTACGTTCAAGTAGATCTCCACTATTACAGTGCCGTTCGGTTCTAGGCCTGAGTTTTCTTACCACGTTTATTTGGTCTTCCATGGACTGGCATGTAGTCCTTATCATCTTCATGTTGAGTTATTGCATGCTAAATCCCCTGTTCTCACTGACTCAAGTGACGTACCATCAGCTCACGTGACTCGCACTAACGCTCAAGAATTTTCCTTTCTCTGAATCTTCTTGTTCTGGTATCGTTTTTCTACAATTGCCGCTCAAATTTTACTCTTTAGAGAGATTACGAACAAAATTCCACTTGGCACTGCAATTTTGGATGGTGATGATAATATGGATTTCTAAACTTTTTGCAAACTCTCAGGGTAACCTTCCCATGTTGCATATGCGCTGGATCGTTATTCACTTTGAATTTCGTCTTGATGATGGCGAGAGATTATTTCACAACAGTTCTCCACTAAAGGAGTGCGTTATATATGAAATAAATAGACCGGTAGATCTGAATGTCGAAGAGCATTGTCAACTGGTACTGCAAACAGACTATATGAGTTGCGAAAAGACATTACACCTACGCTTTCTATCTGCGGAGCAATTAGCGTACACTAAATAGAATCCTGAAAGCTGTTGATCCGGCGCCGCGCGCATTCCAACGTGTTGACATTAGCTAAGTGATACGATCAAGTTGCCTCGCAGCCCCATACATTCTGGTAGACCACGGATAGCGACTAGCGACTTTAGTCTCTTCACTTCTGCCTGGTCATCTATTCGTCAGTAAATAGTTTTGTTTTCCCTGCTGTATTCTGCACATGTGTTAGCGGTTAGCCGAGCCGATGAAGCCAAGATCTAAGAGATCAGCTGCTACCTTGCCATTATTCTGGAGTATTCGGAATCGAACTTGAACTCGAACACTCGATTCTTATATTTGCCGGTTTTTTTTTTCAGATCATCCTAAGACGCAGCAGTTCATCCAACCAGAGCCACGCGCCCCTGTTGCAAATTTGCCATTCATTGAGTCACCATCACAAGGTATTGAAAGTAGAGTAAAGTTCTATTCTAGTCTTTCCCTGCATTTTATTTCGAAGCTGTATCGCCTGCTCATTAGGACAGATCGCACATGTATTCAGAATCCGTAATAACTCTCACGAAATCCATCTTCAAGTAACGTGTGTGGACACGGAAAGTGAAGAACCTGTTCCATTACCTCCAGTCCCTCTACCACAGTTTGCTGGCAAAAGTGAGTACCTCTTTGCTAGTACACCAACGAAATGTTATTCCAGATGTTTAGGTTGCCTTCGCAATAAGCCTCCACAAGTATTTGTTGAACAGCCCCCGTTAATAGGAAAAAGCGTTCCTCGTCCCCTGCGTCTCGCGCGTAGCTGCTCCCGCAACGTGACGTGCGGTATGAACATCGCATCTCATTAGGGAGCAGTATTTGCTCGTCAACCGTCTTTTTTATCACCACTACAGAACAAAAATATGGCAAGCGATTGTAATTTGGCCTTTTGAGAGGCCACACCAAGACGAAGTTTTGCAGGTCACAGTTCCTCAATACCTCGCACGCATAGTTTCGTCATAGATTTCAATGTCATTGCTTGGTGTTGGAGTGCAATTTAGAAAACCGCGCATCACGATGGTGCCGAGCGCTGTTGTCGTCGACTGACGTGAGTTTTTTTCCATCTGCTTTTGCTTGTGTTCTTCATGTTGAGGCGAAAATTGGTGTTAAAATCTTCTCCTGAAGCGAGTAGTGTTCTATTACGCGTTTTTTGTTCCTTTTGTCTTTCCATGTCGATGCTTACGACCTTACCAAAGGATTAAATTGTTCTCACTTCAATTTGTTTCAAATTGTTGGGTTTACCGATGTAAGAGTCATAGCGACTTCTTCAGTGTTGAGAAATGAGGAATGGCCATGAGAGCGGTAATTTGATATTGAACAAATAACAAAGTAGTGGTGCCAAATGAAGCGAAAGTGACTAAATGCAAAAAAAAATTCCAAGAACCCATGATGAGTCCTCATTTTGTCCGCTGTATTACGTGAGTTCACTTCTTAACCCATTCGTGACAATGTCAGCCACCGGTGGCTGACAAAGATCTCACTCGGGCAATGGCATCCACCGTGGCTGCCGGTTTCAAATGGAATTTGGAAAGTTTTCTTCCATGAAAAGAATCTTCATACCCTCATTCATCTACGCCAGCCCTGGGCAGAGGAAATCTCCATCCACTCAAATTTTATTGAAGAAAAATCTCCTGACTCTCCTGCTATTGCGCAATCCCGCGCGGTCGCGAATGGGTTAAAAGTGACTTTGGGTAGGGTATTTTTATAGAAGACACGTTATGATTACAAGACATGACTGCACCGTCAAAATGTAAATCTAACGATATCTAAGCGAGAAATGCAAATGTAACTATTTACAACTTTTTTGTGGCTAACTCAGATTTGAGGCTTGACTCATTGCTATGGTTTACCTTTCGTCCAAAAACACCATTTCTTCTTTCCTTTGCATGCTGGCCACCGCTTCCAGCGCAACTTCATTCACCTCAATGTCACCTACTCGCTACTCTTGAGTTATCGCATTTGTTACTGCAGCTCACTGTCCGTAACATACCTCGCACAACTTACCTTCCCACTTCTCTTACGGTAGTAAGTAATTAAGAAAGGTGTCCAAAACTGCTTAGTTGATGGGGGTAGCCTTCGTGAATTCAGCGATTCGCTAGTAGCGAATCCACGGATTTGCAAAGTGTGATACCGGTCTTTGTGCTCATAGCGATCGGGCTTTTGCCCAGGATATCCTTTTGTGTTTCCTCACATCTGGATGTATAAATTGCATTATCATTGTTCACTGAATGCATGCTATTTTGTTGCGTTGGTGCCTACATGATTAAGAATGTCAGAAAGGTGTGTTTCAGAACGAAAACAAATGTGGAAAAAAGCTATCGAATGATCGGGATGAAGCCGTTAAAGCAGGATTACATGGACGACTCCCACCTAAAGATCTATTAACAAGAAAGCAACCATTACCTGCTGTTGATCGGGCGGTCCAAGGGCCGCAATCGAATTCACCGATTCCGGAAGTGAATCCTAGTCCCTCGACCGTTGTTAACAAACATAAGGATTTATTTCAAGGTGTTTTTACTACTATTGCAAAAGGTAACATTTTCTTTTTCAGTCACTGTTGTTCATTGTTGTGAAATAACTCATTCAAGGTGGTAGTGCAGATGTTGACAAAGCGGATAACGGAGTGGAACCAATTCCGTTGGCTGAGCCAGCACCTGAAGCTGCAAAGGTAGGTTAGGAGTTATATTCGCTGTGAACGTCTAGATTCACTTCTTATTTATAGAGCGTTCCATTACCGCGCCGCCTAGGAACGAAAAACTGTATAATAACTTCACTTCCATTACCACTTCTCAGTCGACACACGGACAATGCAAGTTTTCTCTCTAAATTTCTTTTTGGTGTTTTTTTTACTGCACTTTACCCAGGTTGTTAACTAATGTTTATTAATTTTTTAATATTTGGAATCAATCATTTGTAGTGCTCTCGAGAACCAAGTGGTTCATCAGCAGTACCGAATGCGAACGCGCAATCGTCGGAGGTACAGTTTGTCACAAGTCACCTGCTATTTTCGTGATGCGAGTATTTTTACTTCAGGACGAGCTTACAGTATGTGACATGGAAATCGAATCAGGCTCTGAAGAAACCCCTACTCCTCCAAATGTAAAGTCTTCTCCAGAAAGAACAGATGAGGCAAGTTTATCATTCATTTTTCAGATCACGAGTACAATTGCCAATCCGAATCCTTACCATTACTCACTTTATCAGTTTCTCTTTGATTTTCTGTCATTAATCTTTCTGACTCTTGAACATTATTAAACTTTATAAACCGGTAGACCGTCATTATATAAAAAAGGTTGCTTCATTCCAAAAGAGTATGTGCTCCTTCTTCATCACATCATGTTACTTATGTCACAACGCAAAGAAATTTCTATTTATTTGGCAAAAAGCAATCAAAATTAAGACTGCGTAATCCAAGGCAGGTCCATTGGAAGCTAATATCATTATCTCCTGCATGCATGCGAAACACTTATTTTGATCAAAGAAACGGGAGAACAATTCTCATATTATCATAAAAACTTCACTTGCTTGAATCATGTGATCGACCTCTAGTTTTATTTCTTTTCTGTTCTCTTCGCTCTCTTACGAGCTGATTAGTCCTACATCCATGTGATATGACGTTAAATGGCGATTCATGACGTGAAATTGCACTGCTCACTAATCACTTCCTCGAAGGACCCATTCTAGATGAAGTGCTTGATTTGTTCACTACAATACCGCTTTTTTCAAGGCAGTGGACTTCATTGATGATCATGACGAAGATTACGATGCTCAGTTCATGTGTGAAACGACGGCGTCAATGGATTCGCAAGTCAGCTCGTGCCCTTCGTCGGCTTCTACGACCTTCGGTATGGTGCTTGCTTCATTTCCTGTTGAAATCATTGCCGTTGTTAGTGCTAAGTAGTGTCATTGTTTGTATTATTATTTTGTGACAGTAAGGTATTTAAGAAGCCGGGTGCTGTTTGACTTCAAAGTATTAGGTTGAGCAATAATTATCCGCCGTTTTTTTCGGACTCATGGCTTTTTGGTTTTTTGCTGAATATTTTCAAAGATTATGATGTAGTCTAAAAGCGCAATCTCTTGTACATATTGACGTACAACACTTGTGTATTACTTTACTCTGGACTTACACATGAACAAAAGAGTCCTCACTGCTCAGACTGCAGCATAGACGAGATTCTCTTGCATTCTCTCGTGACTTAATTAGCCTGAATGAGCAGTGCAAAGGACCGTCCGAGAACTTTGTGATACGTATTTATTTTGCTTTGTTTTTTGTTAAAAGTCATGCGTGAAATGAAAAACAGGATATTATTGCTCAACCTCATATTAGGTTGTCTCAGAAGTTCGTGCGTATTTTGAACTTATTTTTGAGCCTGCACTATTCCAAGCACGTGTGCAACCTATCATCATTATATGTACCACCACTATCAGTGACTTGTTACCAACATCCAACCAAAGATTGGCAACTTAACTCTCAAAGGGCTGGCAGTTATGAGCTGAAAAAGGCAGTGAGGTCGATTTTGAGGTGCTAATGGGAATCGTATTTTTTGTCGTCAAGAAGGCGGCTGAGCAGAAAGGGCAGATGTCTTTCGAAAGAGAATGACTACCGCTGCACGACGAATGTGGTTAGGCCTTTTCAGCTGGCTTCGATATCAAACGTCATTATAAAAATTTGTGCTCTCGGGCTTGTGGTGCGGACACCACTTTCTCATTTAACGCATTGTTGGGGTTCACCGGAGCTTGCCCGGTGATCTCCCTACACTAGAGAATACCGTATCACAATGATGACATGTCTCAGGGCTACATCGATAACGCTCCAAAAGAGGTGGAGCACGACCTTGTGGTGAATTTCTTCACTTTTCACCCTCTTCTGTCCGATCTAGTCCCTGGAGATTCTAGGTGTGGTTGTCATGGAACCTGAGCTTCTCAACTGCAGTAGTAGCTTTGTTCAACCAGGGCGTACGGATGGAGCTGGACACAAATTGTAGACGGGACTCGTGCCGGCACTCCTGTCATCAGTGATCAACTCATGAGGGAATCTTTGGTGAGGCTTCACCATTCACAAGGACGAGAACCCTACCATGGTCATCTGAACACCAGATGTGTGCCATAGGCATGTAGCCCCGTGTGGAGTGACTCCCACAGATTCTCCAAATCCGACACTGATGGCCTCTCTGAACGTGGATTTTTCTACCGGCTGTAGTCTCCTGAGCAGAGAAGATCCAGCTATTCTGATACCTCACTGTTGGTGAGGGCGAGGAGATGTATCGCGATGCAGATGCCGCTCAGGCTTCAATCGATGGTCAGTAGAGCTTACTTAAGTCAACGCGAAAACAAACACAGCTTCTTCTATTCACGTTGACTCGAAAACACGATGTGCAGATTCGGGTATACACTACTCAAGTGCTCCCCCCAGCCTACTAACAATTTGAATTTGTAAGGAGCTTGTTGCATAGATCCAAAAAAGTAGCACGAACTTTCGAGAGCAACCGAATATTCAATACGAAAACAAGCTAACTTTTCCTAACGTTAATCCATTGGCTCGCATAACCTCGTCAAAACATTTATTTCAGGTGAGGAGTCCTCACCACAACAGACGGCTTCAAACGACTGGTTGCTTCAGTTCTAGATCAACATGTAATTTCAATAAACTCGTATATTGGAAGTCTGGATGCCAAATTTCATTTAACCACTGCTCTTTTTCATAACCATACCTGACTAACAACTTGCTAAAAGCTTGTCGAAGAGAATCATCGAACGCGCCTGCACAACTATGAAACGATAAATCGTTCCCGAAAATATACCAAATCTTACCAAATCATCGTAATCATGAGTATCTGCTAACTCTCTTTCAGTGTGAGTTTCCCTTCCGACTCCGTCGCTGTTCCTAACTAAGCCAGTAAGAGCCCTGATACGTTTTGCGCGGCGACGGGCACTTTCCATCACGACAACGTCGTTCCGAATTTATAACCGAGATCAGCAAGCGCAAGTCTGACACCTACACAAGTAACTGAAAAACCATAAACGCTATGGCTTCCCACCTATTCGCTCTGTTTCCATGCTTGATCCCGCAACATGGTTCCGAAAGTTCCTGGATACCCTATGAAAGGTCTTATTCTTAAGGCTTCACAACGGAGCATGTCTCTTCCAAAAAATGAGCCGTGGTCGGTGCAACAAACGGCTAGCGGTGTACTCACCATTCCTGGCAGCGCAGGCGATGCGACCCCTCGTGCCAAGCACTCCTGCCGGCACCCCATTTACCTATCGAGGTGCTCTAACACAAGTTAGTTATGCGGCGTTATGTCGCATTAGTAAACTGGGTTCGCCAACCCTGCTAACGACAAAATATATTAGTGACCTGATCCAATCTTCTTGTTTATTGCGGCAAAGGAATCTTTGACAAAAAAATTCGGAGAAAGATGGCATCAAGTGCACCACACACTGATGCTTCGATTACTAAAGAACCTCTTTATATGCAGGATACTCTGCGTCGATTTGATATTTCCTTCAAACGGAAGAAGTTCAATTTGACAAGTCGCAAACTTGTGGACTCATTGCTACCTAGACTCCGTGCCACATCGCATAAGAGAGATTTTTCGGTGCAGGCTAAACGTGTTTCAACACACGACACTTGCTAGCACTCCTTCCCATTGGGCGTCAGATCAGATTATTCACGATATGAATAGGGCAAATCTATATCAACTATCATAAATCGGATCACCCGGGCACTCGACCAATCATGCTTGCTCAAACCCTCCTTTTCTGGTCTCCTATAACTTCCGGTTGCCATGCAGTTTTCGAAACATTGCGAATTTCGGATCACGCTCCGCCCGCTAACACCTTATACTTCTCTTTCTTGAACACACTCTTCCACTTTTTTGTTTTCCATTCGGTAATAAATCCAATTGTAGTTCTAACTAGCAAACTCCCGCCGCAAGGGTGTTCTCCGACTGCCCCTCATGCCAACTTTTCACCGTTCTCGCCTGGGCTTTTGGCGTGCTGAATAGATCGGATTCCTCGCTTCTTGGCACGTGCTCATATTCTTATCTTCGCCCATCGTGGATAGATATCCGCTCGTTATGAGTGTTTGGTGCTTTTTGGCCCATGCACTATTCATCTCAAACTTGATCGGAGTTTCCCAGTGGTTCTCGGGTTATTTCGAACCGACGTTGTGTAAGCTCTAACATGTACCCATTCACATCTCCAATTTGCTATCACGATGACAAGTCTTTGGTCTCTTTATTTATTAGTTATTATTAACGACATCAGTAGCCGTGAACAATTAATCCGCTCAGTTCTCATCGCTTTAAAGACTCACACTTACCATCATCTTTTTTGTCCTCATGATTCTAGCCTTACAGGTGCATATCATTCTCTTCCAGCAACTTTCCCTTGGTCGATCTATCTAATTCAGCTGTCCGTAAAAGCGCCTGTGACCGAAATCCATTTATTTGACGCCGCATACCTCGCAATGGATACAGAGTTCCAGTCGATATATGAATTCAGTCTAAAGGAATCAAACGAGGGATCCTAACTTTTCAAATCATTCCACAAGATTTCAGTAACTACGACTATTATCCCATTTGTTCCTCTATACCATCCGTATGTATTCTCAGAAAGTGAATATTGGCTGTTGACTCGATCGGAAATAATTTTTTGGTTTTACTATGTACACAATTATTAGACATTGCCAACAAGTTAGCCACGAAAGTTATAGTTTTGCAGAATGAATCGAAAGCAGACAATGAATTGTCTTCGACGTTTTCATCAAATAAGGAGCAGAAATCTGCCATCGCTGAAACTTCTTCGGAACCTGATGCTCCTGCCAGTCCACCACCAACGTCTGTGTCGGAAATGCCAGAAAATGTCATAAGGCACGTTTAGTTCTTATCTTTTTCTTCCTTTATCGTTTTTGCATAACATTCGCCATGAATCCTGCTCTCCTTTTCCCTTCCATTTTGAAGGATTCATGCTTATGAACAGGAAGGAGCTGCTGCTCATCCTCGTATGTTCTCACTCCTCACCATCACATACCTTTCTGCTCGCTCCTTACGATTTTTTAATTACAACGATTTTTTACTGCATGATCTCGCTCCGTCCGAAATTCTGAACCTCGATAATTTGAATTCCGAAAAATGCCTAAGGTTATAACAACTGCTATGTTATTGTACAAGAGTGTTTGCTCATCAGGAAGGTCGTTGAAACGGAAGTAGAACCCCATGCAGGGAACGTCGAAAAGCTAAAAGTATTCTTAGCTTTCTCAGCTACAACTATAACACTGAGTCACCGTAGAAGTGAAGTTTTTTGTTTATCATGGGTCTGCTAAGCAGAGGCCCAGATATGCTATTCCAATGATGCTTGCTACATAGGCTGAAGAATTTTCATGAGCTTTTGTTTTCGTGCAATAGTTTGATAGGTCAAATGGTGCTGCTGTTAGTGTAGCGAGTGGTGAGTCTAATATCCGAGTCCCTTATGGATACGAGATTTGGCATTCTAAGAGAGTTGTAGATTACGTACTTTATATGGGATGATGGCCACACTAATCACCGCATTTAATTGCGTTTTTTTTATTTTAAGTGTCATGTCAATTTAGCTGTGCACCGCTGCCGTGGTCAGCACTTTGCTAGGGGTTCAATTTTAGTTTAGTCCACCACTTTCGGATGTCTGGTGTAAAGATGAAAGGTCTTTTATGTGCTCAACAACAGCAACTTGTACTGTGAACCGTTCGCTGTTGAACTCCGTCTTTCTGTGCTAACTAATTGTAACTACAGAGTTCTGAATGCCCCCAATTAGCACCGCCTATAAGAATACGGTGCTCCCGTTGTAGACAGTCTCGCACCCTTCGGGCTTGTTCAGCACACCTTTATCATTTATCATTTCCATTATTTTCTTCTTCCTATACCCTTATTTTCTTGTTATATTGTTTGGGAGTTTGGGAATTTGTGAAATTTTCAAAAAAAAATTTAAAAATGGCGCTGTGACAGAAACTGACATCACGTCCTTATTATTTTCTTAAATATAATATATTTGAGGCGCAAATACAGCATAAATGGTTAGAATATTGAAGGCGTATACGAAAGAGTTAACTGCTGGTAGTGAGCGTTGAAAAATTTCTTCAAGTGAGAGTTAACAAGTTTGGTGAGACGAGATTCTCATTGGATGCCACACTGAATTGATAGGAGATCTTGACACTTTTACTGAGTAGTCGCGCTACAACTTGGGGTTGCCAGGGATGGCTGGCTGCAACATCGAAAGTCTAGCACCCACTCTACCCGTGGTTCTTCGCAAGGATTCTGCGATAGGTAACGTCATTAATTTGATTCCCTGCCATTCTTTTTTACAGTCACTCGCCGCCAACGGCGATCCTCTACTATTGCCCAATCATAGAGCGCGTGAACCAAGAAGTGTGCTTTTCCGCGAAGGTGGGGGTCACACGGAACCCCTTACTACTGCTGTCATCTCTCGGTGGTCTGAGGCCTGTTTTCTTAAATACGAAACGACTTCCACTTCTCAACATTGAATTGATTGTTTCGCAGGAAGTGAAATTTCCTCGCAGAGTGCAGAAAGCCGTGAGTTTGTTGGGGGCATCACTACGAGGAATGAATACAATATTTGCATGAGTCATGATACTTTACATGCCTTTTTTTCTGGCATAAATGGCTGCATTAATTTGTTCAATAAGGTGATATTAAATGCTCATCTGCTGTCGAAATCTCTGGTGTAACATTTATGAGCGCAATGTTCTTGCTGCAACAAATACGAACAAGCGTGGAGTGATTTTCGAGTATGCAATGCTTGATTCCACATGGAAACCCAACCCCGTAAGCACCGGCCTTTACTATGAGTTCACATAAGTCGTAACATCGAAAGGTGGTGCTCTCTACCCATGAGGTTTAATCACGTGCATGTGCTCTGCAATATGCGAAACACTACTTCAAGTAAAGCAATCCATGTCTTGAACGTTGTTCATTAAAGAGTACATCATCGTACAGTTGAACGGTGATTATTCGAGGCAGATTCCCATCTGTTCCATTTTTTAGGTTATTGGAACTGCTGCGTGCAAATCAGTCCAAATCTCAATGTCAAGACACTGATCTCCGTAAAATTCCCACCTCTTCCACGGTTACCGCATCGAAGCCTGATGAGACTGGTGGACAACGAAAATCGCGTTTTGATCAACCGCCTCCTGAGCTCACTGATCCCACAGGATATGTTCCAAAACCTGTTCCTCCTGCATCTGTTGGTATGTTCACTTGATATTTAGATGTAGCAAGTTCATGTTAGTAAAAATGTGATTAGGATTTGTGGGCAACGTTCCTCCATTAGGAGCTTCAGTCATGGATACGGACCTTCGCTCAGCTCCGGTATGCTTATCTTCAGTGCGTCTTGTTGTGTTTGTTGGGTTCCTTTTGAGCCCTGCATTTTCAGCCTGCAACGTTAGCATTTTCAATCAAAAAAGCCGTGACTACTCCAACGTTGAATCCTCCAGCACCACTGGTTTTCGGCGATGACGAAGACGATGACAATAATATATCTGAGGATCAGCAGAGCAGACAAAAAAGGTATGAAAAGATAAAGATCAGGTCAAGGAAGATATGGCTGATTCCCTCACCCATCTTTCTTAACCCTCACCAACTATAAAAAAAGGATAAAGGATAAAGCATTTGCCGTTGATCAATCCCTTTTTGGGATGCGGCACGCATTCTACTTCCATTTGTACATTCGTAGTGGCGTTTGAATGCGATGTGGCCTATACAATGACTTGCGGGGCCAGCCGATGTTCAAGTCAGTGTTTTTATCCTCCCAGACAAGTCTGGTACCAATTAACCGACCCCGGAGGGATGGAAGGCTTGGTTGGCCCGGGCGACTCACGACCCAGGATTTGATCCCCGGACCGCTCGCGTGGTAAGCGCGCCACTTGTCACTACACCACTTCCGCCCCTTTTATGGTTATAATTAAATTTTATTTAATTCAAATTGCATGAATGCTGTATTGGGTTGTCCCATAATTCCTTTCCGAATTTCGACACTTTCTTCTCATCGAGTTTTATCTTTCTCAAAAACCAATTGATCAAAAACTATCATTATCATAATCACCGATATGCATCCATTCACCAGGGAACCTTTGGATGCTTTCTTCCTAGAATGGGTGAAGCTATGAGCTGGGGAATTCAGCAAGGTGGTTTTTGGAGTGGTTGTGGTCAGTGACATTTTTCTCTCGCCAACGCTGCTTCGAGGCACTGCGAAAAGAACAGCCCGATGGAGCAATGCCAGGGCTTACGACGGGAATGGTATCATGGTCCAGCCAGTTTCCCTCAGAACGCAGCGAGTTACTTTGCAATGTGAGGTCGGGCGTCTATTCGGAGAAAGGGGATTTTGGGACGTTTGAGACGGTTCTCTCCCACTACTGCGGCCAACCCCGGGAAGCTGTTCCACGATGGCATTCGCAATACTTGTCCGCATATAGCAAAACGACTGTGAAAACGGAAGACCCACTCAATCTAACAAATCAAAAGCAATATTCTCTGACCACGGAGTTTGGGCTTTTGTTGAGCTGGTGAGCCCTGGTTGCATTGTTGAGGCAGCCATCAGGCGTGCTGCGCGTTGTTGTCGTAGGGAACTCATCCCCACTAGTGATCAACTAGGGAACGCTCTGCTGCTATTGAGGTCACAGAATGAAATTCCCCAAGAGGGTCAGACCAGCTTCTCGGTCATGGCTGGTCGGTGCATATGGTTTCTATCAAGTCTTCATTCTGCTGCTGCCCACTCCATCCTGATGGCGTGTGCTGGTGCATCGGCTGCGCCCAGGTGTCTGCTACAATACCCTGGTAGTAGCGTCCGTGTGCACTTCCAATCCATGGCGCAAGGGGTCCTCATCGAAAGTGAGTGGAGGCCAAGGATGAGGCTGATTTTCACAGCTCGTATTGTCTTTGCCATTGCGACCGAACCTCCAGCTCAGTGACCGATCAGTAGCAGGGATTGTGAGCCAAACACAGCGCTGATCTTTTCTAGTGTCCTACTTGCAAAGCGCCTATTGTAAGGATCATAAAGCATAATAGTTCGTTATTGTCATTGATCTATTTCGACTTCTACTTAGTTCTCCGATGCGGGTTTGACCTTCCAAAACGTCCTGGCTAACGGTCTAGATGCACTCTTTGACATACCAACATATTTCGCAATGACACTAATTCGACTTGAAGAAATTTGAATTTGATCAAAAATCGGACAGGAATTATGGGACAACCATGTTTGCATGAATCTCAATGTTAGGAAAAGGGAGCAACCCCAATAGGTTTGCATGATCTCAGTGTTAGTAAAAGGTCAGGATAGGGCGATCAAGCATACGCATCACATCCGATGTCTACATCTGTATGGCGTGAGATAGGCACTGACTAACTAAACACTAAACAGGCATTTACCATGTAGCAGCTACTAGTGCGATGTAACTTAAGGGGGAGTGTTGTTAGAGAAATCCCTCGATGCTTACTGTCAGGTAAG